CTACAAGTCGCTGTGACCACCAAAATGTAATTTTGTGCAATACTGAGTAGGATAACACATACCTTGTTTTTCAATTTTAAAGAAGGCTAGAACTATCAAACTAGTTAAGTTAAAAGAAGAAAATACTTGAGACCTCTAGTGATTTTATTTTGCCATGGGTTTTCAGGAGCTGAAAGACCAGTCAACAATAAAATACTTAACAGCAGATTGGGTTACAGCATCTGATCACCAGCTCTTAAAAATTCTACACAGATTTCCTTCAACACACAAAGGGGCCTTCCTGTACTCAATTGGGTTTTTTTAACTATTACAAAAATAAAGAGGATTATTCTAGATAAGAGGCTCAAAGCTCAGCAAGGGGCTATAACCTACAAGAGTACTCTAAAAGCAAGATATCTGTAAGTTCTTAGTGAAAAGCTTTTTTTTTTAAATCAATAATCACTTCCAGCATATAAGGAAATATACGTCCTCTGCAAAAATGCATCCAGGTTTTAACAACTTAACACCTGAGCAAGGTGGTGATAGGACCAATGAGTTTGAGATAAAAAAAAAAAAAGCAGCTCACACATTAAGTATTAACCCTGCTATCTGAAACCAGATAGGAATATTAGATTGTAACCAGCAGAAAAGGCCAGGCTTTTTCAAAAACAGCAGTTCCAATTCTAAACTCCTCACTCATGCTATGAAATCTTCAGGTGCATCTAGGAGAGTAGGTTCCGCTTCACACTGAAGTTGAGAATTCAATGGTCACAGTTACAGCATGCATGTGCTGTCACATTAACTGCTGAGGTGATGTTCTCAAGGGCACGATTCAACTCATGAACCACTTGAGGATCATAAAATCTTTAACAGAGAAGTGGAAAAGAGCATACTTGATAGGGTGCCAGCCTCCATACACAGGTCAATGTTTCATCACTTTTGTATTTTTCAATAGCTGCATCAGTTCAATTTTAAAGGACAGCCTAATTTTTGTTCCTGCCATGTCCAAACAGGACACCCTCAGCTACACAGCACATCCCGTGCCAAGCTCCCCCTCAGCTGGTAGGGGATGGCAAGGCAGCCCTGAGATCTTGGCCCAGCGATGAGGTGGCTGCTCCCTCGAGAACAGGGCCCTACTTCAACAGGGCCAAACGCCAGCAGAGCCACCGACTCCGACAAGCTCTGAGACTCAGGAGCAGCGGTCCCAGCCTGGTCAGAACACCGCCCAGCTTCACCATCAACAGGCCACGGTACCTGAGGGGCGGGCGGCGCTGGAGAACACAACGGGCAGGCTTGGGGGGGAGAAC